TGATCCTGGAAGTATGGAGCAAGATTTGAAGAAAGTTCGTATAAGGAAAAAAGAGAGTTCACTCGAGAGAATCAAGTTTCTGATACTTTATATCTCTTATTTCTTAAGACTATGGTACCGGTTATGAAATGATTTGTAACCGAGCCTTTCCTCCAATTTGGAATATGCATCTTGAACTTTTTCCAACAAATGGATGGCACCTCCGAGCGGTTGAAAGAGTTTTCTACCCTGTCTGATTAGCACTCGGAAGGATTCACATTGTCTGTTGAAGGGAAGCTTGGTATAATCATGGTATGAACCCAAAGCAACCTCGGTATGGTAATGTGAAACAAGCTCAATATCTGTGATAATGTGACAACCATAATACAAGACTTTGCGAAGGTCACTCAACTTAAGAGTAGAGGCACTCACACTAAGTAATGCGGACTGTCATACACCTTTGATAAGGGACTGATTTTGTCTTGATTGATTCCAGAAGTAAGCAGGAGTTAACAATGATGTGGGAGAACACCAACTGGACATTTGCCGTTACGACACTAATTGGCTCTGTGTTTGTATTATTTATTTATTAGTCATCTAACCGGAGTAGGAAGGAATGTGCAGTTCCGTTGGGCTCGAGGTAAAGGTAGACGGTTTCAGGATAAATACAAAAAGGGGTTTAAATTCGTGCGGGCACTCAATAGATGCTGGACATACCTACGACGCGGTCAAGTCTGGCCACGTAGTAGCTAGTTGCACCAAAACTATTTGGGTCCCTAAGGGAAGCATCTTAAGTATTTTATCTACAATGGAGGTGGTGGTTGATTGACAATAATGTTGCGCACTGGAAGAAAGCTAAGAGAGGTTTCTGTGACCAATGACGTTCAAGGCTTGCTTATAACAGTTAATGTTCAGTGGCTCCCATGAATTACAGCGTGAAGTCCGGTTGGTCTTTTAACTACCCGCTGAAATGCAATGCTGCTTTGCTTCCAGCAGATATCTGCAGGGGTAAGTGTCTTAAGTATCTTGTATGAAAGCGGCGTCTTTAAAGCTTCTGTGATCACCTTATAAAATAAGTATTTTACTACAACAAGAAGATAATGTATAAACAAACCAACCACACCCAGCGAAGCTCTAGTATTTAAGCCTGATTGCACTGATTATAAAAATTTACACTAAGAACTAAACTTTCGGAGTGCTCTCGGGAAGTCAGTGTTGCAATTCGTTAAACGAAACTTAATTTGACCATTAGTACAGTGGAAATGCAATAAATCTTCGGGAAATTTATTGAGACACTTTCTCTCCGTAGGCTTCTGTAAAGCTAAGACGATATATAGTGTTCACAAGGACTTACTGGCTGCACCGCACGGCAGTTAAGTCATTGAACGGCTGCAGTTAACAGATTAATAATCAGTCCATTTAGTGCGGCAAATATTAAGGTCCTCCTCCAAGGCTCAAAAGTCTCCATTTTGTGAATAGGGCCTCCAGGGGCGTAGCTTTCGCTTTTCTTACTAAAACTCTTCTGTGGGAGACTGAATCTCAACATCAGCATTTATTCCACAAGCATAATAACGCTTGCTAAAGACAGCCATACAAACAAAATGTCTTCAATTTGAAGAAAAACTGGCTTCCATCCATCACTACGTGCCTTGTTTGGCATTTTCAGGCGTTTCAAAAGTTGTTCAGCAAGTGCGTATGTATGTGTGTATGTATTTCACCTACCAAACTTGTCATTTTGCCTGATTGCGTGGCATGGCAAATAAAAGAGATTCCAAAATTGCAACTTTACCAGGGACTTAACATCTAAATCCAACTGCATGTGAACCATGAATACGAAGCGAGGGAGTAATGCAGCTAAAGCAGAGAGGTAGTGCGTTGAGTGAGCGAGTGAGCGAGTTCAATATGAAATGATGCGATGCATGCATTGATATGAGTATTTGCACGCATGCTAGTAGTCACGCAATGACACACACAACCAGCCAAGACGCAAACTTGCATTGTGAGTTTGCACGAGCTTAAATGGCAACGTTGCATTATTGCAGCGAAGTGAAAGATACAAAAAGAAACAAAAAAAAAAATAACACAAAGCGAGAACTTCAAAACTGAAATTTTGTATAGCAATCGCTTGTTTTTGTTGTTATTGTAACTGCTGCTATAAAACTTATCAGGGGCATGTATGCCTTTGAGGCTCCACTGCTGCACATAAAAGATTTAAGCCATATTTCTCCCTCTCTCAACTTCCGAACTACTCCCTTCAAGGCTTCATTCTTCCGCTCGCTTTCTTTCTACTGCTTAGGTTGCATTGTTCACTTGCCAGGTTCGCCTGCATCTGACAATCTGCTTGACGTATTGAATTTCTATGGCTCCCCATACCAGCGCAGTCGGCCCACTGCTGTCGCTTTGGCACTTTAATCAACCATTCTGCGCTTAGCATTGATTGTACATTGACTGGTTCTTCACCCGAAAATTGTTTTGAGATTTGTACGTGTATGTGAGTATTGGTTCTTGAATATGCATTATAGAGGATAAACTGCAGGCTGACTTGCGTGCTGCCGTTGCCATCTGGCTCCTTGTCTCCCTTTTTGCTTCTTTCTTCCCTATGCCCTTACCTTTCGTTCTATTAACTTCCTGCAGTATTCTATCTCTTTGATTTCGATTACATTTCTTTTAGCTCTTTAATAGCGACAATTTAAAGCTATCAACTGCAATGTGTGTCTTCTGCATGCCTGTTGTACTGCCTCAGTCTCATCAACTTCGGAGATTCTGCGTATGTCACAAGCAGTGATAGTGGAGGTTGGAAGAAGGTTGTTTATACAGAGAGGCTTCACAAAACATATTTCATACGCGTAGACTATACCTGTCTTGAAAGTTATTGATTTTTATAGTTTTCAAGGCACGTATAATCTTTTAAAAAATTTCAGAAAAAAAATTTATTAAGAAAAAATTTTAGTCTAGGAAGTTGACCACATTTTGGTTGACATGGCAACATTGTAAGAAAAAATTCTAAGCTTTTCTCAAGGATAACTTTGTTTGACACCAATATAATTCTGTCTTTTTGATTTGATCAACATGAATTTCAAAAAAAAAAAAAACCATTTTAAATGAATGGCAACTCCTTTCAAAAAATATTTTATTTTGTAAGTTTTTTTAAAAATATTTTTAATTTATACCCAATGTTTTCATAATTTTATTATATTTGAAATTTTACAAATATAAGCAAACAGGTGGCAACGCTCTTCAAGCACATTTTTATTTGTAAGGAATTTAAACATCCTTAATATCGCCTCAATATTGTAGTCTTAATTTTTTTCCGTTAAATTTCATTATTTATAAATTATTTAATGGGTGGCAACTCTGTTAAAAATATATGCAACTAAAAACTTTTGCCTCAGCCTTTTAATATGACTGCTTGTCTTTTTAATTTTATATTTGATTAAAATCATTATTTAAAATAGGTGGCAACTCTATCCAGCATTTTCTGAAAAGTTTTCTGCATGAAATTCTATAAGTCTAGACCCTGTCAAGATTCCAATTATCTTAAAATGCGAGGTTCCATAATTGCATCTTAAAAATACCACTTCCTCTGCTTTGCCAATCTAAAAAAGAAGCTTCAGGCCATGCTCCTTGATCCTTTATAAAGAATATCACGAAAAAGAATTGTCGTCAGCGCTATCACGATTTACTTATCCAGAAACAACAATATCAGCATTGAAATCCCACACAGAAGCGATATTATCTATAGGAGTGACTTGGAACTGACAAGGCGAATGAAAAGTAAAGTCTTTTCTAGACAAAGCAATGACGTCAGCTAATAATTCGGCGTCAAGAGTTTTCGAGAAAAAGTAAGTGCATATGTTAAGAAGGAGATAAACTCCAAAAGTTTTCAGAACCACGAGTTGCTGCTACAACGTCTACATAGTCTAAAAGAGGGCGTTCTAGTGTTCCTTTGGTCTCTCTAAAATCCATCCCTAGATGATTCCTGCGACCGTTTGCATTTAGTAACAACCCTCAGTTTCCCTTCAGATATTAGGCTCATAAGGCACAGCAAAATCCCGACTCCATCCTTCATTGTACCAGGCTTTAACCATTACCGAATTGGAAACAAATGAAATTCTAAAGACTATGCAGCCTACTCTTTAAAGCCTACATACTACAGTCTACGTCGCACTCGCATAACATAAAACACCACCTCTTAGGTTAACATTTCAAGCGTATTTTAATGGTCAAAAGTGGCCGAGGCAATATGTCAACTGTAATTAATGCATAGTGATTGCGGCAAATCTTATTTTCCTCAACAAGAACCAAGTCGATATAATATTCGAAGTGGTTTCTCTGAAAATAATGGCTTTACATTTGGAACGCTTTAGCTTCATTCGACTGGGATTTGCGATTAACCGCTGAGTAATTTGTCTAATTGAATAAAATGTATTTAATAAATTATTTCAATATTATAAATTAAAAAAAATATATATATAGTAATTATTAATTCTGATTGATTATTATTCTCTAATTAAATAACTAGTCACTCTTTAACTAATCAGTTAGTATACTTATGTTGTTGATTAATCGTTTAAACTTAGAAACTTAATACCAATTCGAATTCGAATGCTTCCGTTTGTTTTTCTATTAGAAATGAACTCAGCTGATTTTGAATTTTATTTCCATTTCTCTTTGAGGGAAATTTCACTCCCTAGCAATTGTCAGAAATTTAAATATTTAAAAAATAGAATTGGGTAAAATTACAATAGTTTTTTGGTGTCGCTGTAAAAATCATTACAAACGCTCTCCGACCTTGATTAAAGAATTAAAAGGGAATGCGGTAAATATGTTGAATTGCTCTGAGCACAGACGTGAGGCAAAATTGCTAAAAAAAATTATAATTTTTTCTAGTAAGTCGAAGCGCGCAGTAGAGCCACCCGAGCATGACATAACGCCATATTATTCTCTAGAAAGTATTAGTGCACCCACACGCCGAGACACGGTCTACTTTTCAGCCGACTCAACAACTACACGACCTACACGAACCTCTACACGACATATGAGTACAGCGACCAGGAGTCGTGGCACAAGACCTGCAATTACCGCTGAGTTCGGCGCTCAGACAACTGCTAGTATTAGAGAGGTGAAAGTGGGTGGCACAGATTTTGCGATGCAGACAACACCAAGTTTGGAAGGTAAAGAGGCCAAAGCTACGCCGGTGGTGGAAAGCTCCAAAGAGCTGCGACAGCCAGTGCTGACAGTTGATCGGGGCACAGGCGATGAGGATTCTATATCGCAGATTTATTTGAGCGGTCTCTCAGCGGGCGAAACACCTTCCTCCGCAAGTGCGGCACATTATTATGATAAAGAGACGGACAACGAAATGGTAGCACGTGTGAAGAAGTTAACAAAGCTGCGAAATCTAATACCGCACACTCCCAGCCTCGATTCGTCGAACTTGTTTATCAGACGAGAGGTCGCCAGTCAAGATGAAAACCAACGCTGTTATGACGAGGCCAGTTTGGAAAGTCAGGCATATAAGCAGTTTATGTTTTCACCAAGCGGCTCGTTGACTTACGGTGGTGATGAACCTAATGGGAATAATAATACTGTTAGGTTGACTGGTGACTTACGGCAGCCAAATGAGCCACATGAAATGGAAGCACAAGAATCAGATGCGGAAATGGCGGAGAGGCCAGCCACAGCTCCGCCTGCAGGTAGCGCTTCATCATCGCTCTCCAGCGAACCGTATTTACAGAGTGCTTTTGCTACGAATTTGCAACTCGGTGATGGCTTTGTGAGTTTTTGAGCAATGAATTTACTTACAAACTGTTCTGTTTGTCTTTTGATACTCAGCTAACCCTTTGCAGCTATATATGGTCATACCACCGGATGGCGGTTACGGTTGGTTCATTATGGTCATCTCGTTTTTCTGTCAAGTCATCGTTGATGGCATCATTTTCTCAGTCGGCATATTGCTGCCCCACATGGCTAGAGGTCTTGGTGAGACGCAGACGACTATAGTGCTTGTGGCCTCAGTTCAAGTTGGTAATGAGTGGAGCATGTGCTTGCAGAGAGCTTAGGTGAATTGCAAAACAAATGCTTTCCAAGGTTGTTATTTTCTTGCAGGTTCTGTGGCGAGCGCTTTTATCAATAAGTATGGTTTTCGTGTGGTGGCTTTGCTTGGTGGGATCTGTTCGATCGTTTTTATCATGATCGGCACTTTCAGTAACAACTTGGCAATGCTTATTTTTTTCTACAGCGTGTTGGGTGAGTAGCGAAGTAAAGTGAGAGCTTGGTGAAGAATTACAGATTTTTCGTAGATTTCATATGAACCTTATTAGATTTAGTTGGTTTTAGAAGCTTTAGAGCTGAGCTTATATAGTTTTGGTTAACTTTGGTGAAGTTTATCGAGCTTAATAAGCTTTTCTAATTTTTCACAGCTCAAGTAGAAGCGTTTGGGCTTAATTTGGTTTTTAAAGTCTTATATATGAATCTAATGACAAAATTAAGTTAAGCCACTCTAAAGAGCTTAAAGCTTTAACCGTTTTTTAGAGTTACTTTGAGAATTTCGTGTGTTCAAATTTTACTTTGATATAGATAGATTTATTATCTATATACAGATTTGCTGAGATTTGACCAGCTTTTATTAAATTTTGAAACTTTTTTTATTATCGTATGTTATTATCGCCTGTATATTTCATCACCTTATGAAAAATTTGTAATGATTTTTGAAGCTTTTGTTAGTGTGCGGTTTTCCATCAGGTGTTGGTTAACTTTGGGTATTTTTGAAAAGCTTTACGACTTATGTTGATTTGTTCACAAAGCTTCAATGAGGTCCGTATTTCAAAGAGCTTTATTGAAATAATCAAAGTTTTGATAAGCACATATTGTAGTAAATTCACCGATCATCCACGATATTAGCGAGCTTTAGTAGGCTTTCAAAGCTTTAGCTAAACCTCCAAAGGGCTTTTTTAAACAATTTTGAACTCATTACTATATGTAAATTCAGGTGGAACATCTCTGAGTTTAATTTGGGTCTCGTCTCAGTTAATTATTGGCTATTATTTTGAACGCTATCGTCCTATCGCGAATGGTTTATCGTGTTCCGGGGCTGGAGCGGGTATTTTGATATTTTCCTTCATGAATGCACAGATATGTCCAGATATTGGTTGGCGCAATACCTCGCGTATACATACAGCATTGTTGTTGCTGATTTTGCTCATGGGCATGACTTTCATTGAGGTTACACCAACACGCATAGCGACGGTGAAAAGGGTGAGCGTCAACATTTCAATTGAGAGAATGTATTATTTAATAATTTTTAGGACGAGTCATCGTCTTCATCAAGCGAGGACAATTCATCGGCGCCCTTCAATGAAGTACGCTATTCGCGGTTTCAAGAGTCGATATCGATTAAAACCACGTCCATCGATAGAGGGCTGGAGCAGATGCTTGGTGAGAACCAGCCAAAACTTTTCTGAATTGAATTGTATATGTTTCTTATTTACCCTAATTGTTCCATAGAGGTTTATGAACCGCAGAAAATGCACCATATTGAGCGCATGTGTCCTTGTTGCTGTCGTAAAAAACGCTTGACACGCAGTCGCACACCCGACGAGCAGGCCGACACTGGCGACGAAGCGCTGGAAGGTGATGTTGAAGATTTACAACAGCCGAAAAGATATCTGGTACGTGTAGATCCAATAGAGCGTGAAGATCTCTTCTATACCGGTGCTGCGGAGTACGATAGTGATGGTGCAGTGAAAACAAGGCGCACCGCAAACCATTTAATTTCATTCAAAAGCGAGCGGGTGTGCAAAAGCATATAAAGGCAAAATCAAGAAACGAAATTAAAAAAAAAAAAATACTTCCTTCTCCACAGGCCAAGACCGTAAAATACTCTCTATCAGTTGTGCGCTCACAACGTCAATATCCGGACGCTAAAAGACGCACAATTGCTGAGCTACGTAATCGTCATAAAAATCCCTACTGGGTTTTCATCTCACCACGCAATTGGATGCCTGCTAAGCTGCTGAATGCATTCGCTCGACTTTTCGATATGAATATGTTGAAGATTATAGAATTTCGCATCCTGCTGTTGTCGGCGTTCTTCTTCACGATGGGTTTTAACATACCCTTTGTCTACTCGAAAAGTGCGTGAGCGCGGAGAAAATTAAGTTACATTTTGTTATTTTATTTAATTTATCTTCACCAGTACGCGCTGAAGTGGATCCTTTCAATGCCAGTCTAATCTCACCCACTATTGGTCTCTCCAACTTGATATTCCGCATTGCTTCCGGCTTCGCAGCTAACAAATATCGCTCGCAAACTACATATATGTGTGGCGGCGGCATTGTCTTTGGTGGTATTGCCACGCTGGTGAGTGCCTTTTATGGTGAGGATGTTGTGTGGTTTCAATACACATATGCTGCTTGTTACGGTGTGGCGCCAGGTGAGTTTGCGGCGTAGGGAGTACCTTTATGATCCCAGAGTGAATGGTATTCATGGGCTTCTGAGAGAATCTGCAGTACTTCTCTAAAAGACTTTAATTACTATGAACCGCATCGATGATTTCTATCGATCATTCACGCTACCACTTCTTAGAAAACCCACTCTCTCCTTCTTTGGATGATCTAGATGATAAGACAAGACTGCTACTAAAAATAATTGAGTCTATCTCTCTCCCTGTATTGCTGTTTATATCTTTCTCCCTCTCTCTTGTGTTATTTCTTTTTCTCTCTCTTTCTCTCTAAGCCCATATATTTAATGACTAATTAGGTATTACTTAATATTTTCTTTCATTCTCTCTCTCTCTCGTATAGATAACTATATTTTAATATTGCTATCTCTGTAAGAGAGGTGAGACTTGCTCCGTGAATTTAATGACACTTAAATCAGCCTTGAAAATTACATTTAGAAAAACTGAAATTAAAAACTTTTTCTTTTACCGAAACCTTTGCTTTCACATATCTTTCAGCATTTTTCTCCACTCTACGTGCGATCATCTACGTACGCACTTTGGGTTTAGAGCGATTAACTAATGCTTTCGGCCTTACCGGCTTGGGAATGGGACTCGGCGTTTTTCTGGGCACCACAACCGCTGCGATACTTAACGGTCTCACTCACCGTTATAATGCTGCATTTGCATTTTCTGGCGTGTGCTTGATTACGTCCGGCGTTTTGAAAGTAATTCTACCATCCTTTTTACGCTATAGAGCAAGGATTGTGTTGGAACAAGAAGCGAAAGGGCAAACTGAGAATAAGGTTAATAAATAATTTGAGTGTCAAGCGGTAATTTGCAATAAAATAGCTAAAGAAAACAAGAAATATTGTGTGCTTTTGTCGAGTTTAAATAGTTTTGGAATGAGGTGACGCTAAATAAAGAATCTCTCACTATCTCTTAGCCTAATAAAACTAGCACTGTTCATTTTTTTATTTTTTTTTTTATTTTATATATTTTATTGGCATTTAATTTACATTTTATAATATATATTATATATATATATTTATATATATGAATATATATGTTTATATATACTTAATTTATACTTTATACAAAAATCATTTAGTTTTACAATTTTCATATTGTTTTATTTTTGTTTTCGCTCTTACATTTTTTTTTACAATTTTGTAATTGAATTTTTATTATCCTTTTCATCAGTTGAGTCAGAATTACCGTTATTTTAATAGTCAAAAAAATATGTCATTATATTTTATTTTTATCATTATTATTAGTGATCGCTTTATTAAAAATTTAATTGCATTTGATTGAATTTATTTCTGAAAAATTATTTTCAACTAAATTGATGAAAATCAAATGAAATAAAGCTCAATAAATAATTTAGAAATTAAAAAAAAATTTATTTGATTTTAAAAGGCCAACTTACTAAACATTAAATAAAAAGTTATGAAAACTATTTTTAAGTTTAAAATATATTATAATTAAATCGAAATATTTTCTTTAAAATTTTGCAAAATAAAATTTGTTAATTTTTAAAATTATTAATTAAATATTAAAATACAAAACACTTATTAATTTAAATATATTTTATGCTCATATATATTTTAATTTTTTTTCAAAAAAAAAAATAAAAAATTACTAACAGAAGCTTATTTTCATTGTTATAAGAAATTAAAACATTAAAAATTTTGTGAAAGTGTTTCTTGGTTTCATAAATTCAAGAAAAGTTTGATTTCAAAATTTTTATTTAGATACTTATATTAAATATTTTATGCTATGCTTACTTGTATTGTTATTAAGTGTTTTTACTTAATTCTTCACCTACATATTCATACATAAGTGTTTTTTGATATTCTTAATTTTATTATTAATTGTTTTTTTTTTCATTGTAATTAGGGCTGTCCGTAATTATTTCGTTTAACCAAATACTCTATATAGATATTTTTTTACGCTTTTTATTTCTATTTAATACATACATATATATATATATTTTCATATATATTAACTTTAAGTGTTTCTTTTTAAATTTGTAATCCAAGTTACGTTTACCTTGTTTGGGGTTTGCAAAATGTCACTCACTAGCAGAAGTAAAACCATAAGAGTATGCTATTTTTAAATTCAAATGAATTGAGAATGAAGTTGTCTAAGCTTTTTTGAATTAAAAATGAAAACAAAATATCCACCTCTGTATATATTTAAGTACTTAGAATAAAATAGAAAATAAAACATATTTTTTTTAAATTAATTATAATAATATGTTTACTTACTGTAAGTTTTTTTTTGCTTTTTTCTTCTCTTTTCACTCCACAACAGCTGTTTTAAATATAATTTCTAATCTACATACATACATGATTTTCTGCCGTTTATTATATCGTAATTATCATACTTAAATATATATATAATTAATCAATTTATTTGTTTATCTTACTATTATATTCATTTATTCTGTTTATATGTCCAAAGTATTTTTCGCTTATAAATTTCCATTGAACTACGAAATTCTTACTTCTGTCGTCAGCGTAATGAATTTGTTCAATATTTGTCTTTGAACTTATGACATATATTTTTTTGATTTTTTAAATTATTTTCAGCTTTAATAATTGTTCTTTTATGCTAAATTTTTATTTTAGTCAAGAGCATATCTCTTTATATTATTTTGTTTTGCTTATGTTTTTTTTGTTGTTATAGTTAATTTATAAATTTCATATATTATGAAATTAAACTAAATTAAACAAAACAAAATAAAATAAAATAAAATGTAACAGCGTGTTATTAACTATAATTTAATTTAAAAAATAATAATTTAAATTATTTAAATTTTCTGTAATGTGTGTTTCTTAGTTAAGAATATGACAAATTTAATAAACTTTTAATTTACAAGCTCCAAAAATAATTTATTAAACGAATATCAGGCAAATAGCTTTTCGTTTAAATTTCAGTATTATTTTTTTTTTTTCAAACTATGCTCAAAAAATCAATTAAAAAATACTTACAAAATCAAAGGGAAAATCCTTAGGATGTTAAATGTTCTCTACATATTTGTTTGAAATAAATTTAATTATATTTTATAGTTTTTTTATTTTTTCTTTCCATTCCTTAATGTGTTTCTTTTTATATTGTCGACGTTTTTATTAATTTAATTGTTTATTATTTCTTTGCTATATTTATTTTCATATTTGTTTTAAAAAATTTGCATTATATCAAATTGCAAAAAAAGAACAAACCTGAACTTATACAGAAAAATAGTAAAAAATAAGCAAAAAGGTGTCTTTATTCTAGTATATTTTTTTTTTTATTGATTTATATAATTTTTTTTTTAATCATTAAGGTCGTTCGATTTTTTTTGTTTTTTCGTAAAATTTTGTGTTTTGTTCGAAAGCATATATTTTTTGTCTAATATTATTTCCATTTATTACTCTTACCTAAAGTTTTTTTTTGTGATTCTTAATAGCTAGTTAGCTGATAATTAATCCCTTGTTCTATTTTTTGTTGATTTTTTGTAATTCTATATTTTCTTGATTTTTTTTTCATTAACACTACATTTTAAAACAAAATCATCTTATGAATTTTAATTATATTTTGTTATTTGTTTATCAATCTTAAGAAAAATTACAAGCTTGCTTTTGTTAAATTTTTTGTGAAAACTTTAACAGAGAAAGAGAATATTAAAATAGTTTCAATTCTTCTATTTTATAATANAATAATAATAATAATAATAATAATAATAATAATAATAATAATAATAATAATAATAATAATAATAATAATAAAAATAATGATAAAAATAATAATAATAATAATAATAATAAAAATTATAGTAATAATAATAATTATAATAATAATAAAAATAATGATAGTATTAATTATAAGAATTATAATAATAAGAAATTTCTTCAACAAAAATTAAACGTAAAAAGGATATTTAATGACTGAAACTATTAATAATTGGCGTTTATTTTGCAACCCTTGCTACTAAAAACTTAAACATATTTATTTGAAAATTTACAACTTTTCTTTTAAATTTCATTTCTCTATAACATTTAGGCGAATTATCTTGCAATTTTTTGCTAAAGGATTAATTCCTAACCACACAAAAGCAAGCTGTAACTGGTCTCTAATTTATGTGCTTCTCTCATTTCATTATGAAGAAGTACATTTGTGTATTTTTTCAAATACTTTTATACATTTTACATATTTTATTTATTATTTTTAATATATTTTTTTTTTAATTTTACTTTTATATTTTTTTATTAATTTTTTTGGTTTTTTGTAAAAGAAATCATACGCTTACTTTACGAACTACGTTTGCTCCCAATGCGTCCTTCATGTTGTGGACCTAGAAAGCAAATAAAAGAAAATATGTATTTATATCAGTATATGTGTATGTGCATTTAAAAGGTAAGCTCCTTTGTGTGCTTGCGTGCATTCCAGCGTGATTTCCATTCCATCTCTGTCATGCCCTCAACATACATACAGCTTTTCAATAAAACCAAATCCAAATTGAAATTTTCAATTTTTTAAAATCCACAATTTTTTTATTTTATTTTTTTTTTGTGTTGTCCATGGCTTATTCATTCATTCATTCTTATAACCACCCACAAATATATTTCTGCGTACATACAAAAGTTGAACTGTCAATCTTTGTCCAGCTGAATGTCACTGCTTGTCCAACTGTCAATCCAGTAGCCGCTCCAATACTTGCCATAAATTTAAAGTACTACACAGCACGCCAATACCATGGGCAAACATATAAATTAATATACATACACACAATCATACAATAACACAGCCAGCCATGAGCATAACCTGCTTACTGCCATCATCCCATACACTTACCAATTGAAGTAGGTCGCCGGCGAATGGCAACCCTTCTCGGTGCCACACCATTTGGACTCCTGCAGCGCGGGACATGGCCGCCCGCCACGCTTGCCATGCCTGATGACCTTGCGATATCGATGCATCTCACCGATGCCGCACGTTTTGCTGCACTCCGACCACTCGGACCAATGACTGACACGGCAATCGCGTAACTTCGTGCGAGATTTCGTGCGGCGGCGAGATTTCGGCAGTGGACCCAACCAATTGTTGGCAGCAGAGTTGGCAAAGTTAGCGGCACTGGTGGCATTGTAGCTCGTCTCTGTGCGGTGATAACTGTTGGCGATATTTTGCATGATGGCATTTTTATCATTTTTCGGCACAATATTCGCCGCCGTTGCAATATTGCCATTGACATGGACAGCATTGCTGTTGTTATTGTAGCTGTAGGTGAAGAGAGGGTGGAAAAATAAAGAAAAGAAATAAAAAAAAGTTGAGGAACTTTGAAAGTTATATGCAGGATGGACTATATGTATGTGTGTAACTATCGGCTAAGCTTCAATGTGATGGATATATATATATATATATATATATATTATATGTATGTATGTATTTACTGGTATAATAAAATATAAGCTCTTTCAAGCCCTGCTCCACCCACCATAAAGCACCTTACACTGTCATTTCCTCAATCACTTTGTGACGCTTCTTTCGCTTTACTACGACGCACATACATACATACTTAGGTTTATTTACGTAGCTGTGCACTCCCGCAGTAAGCTTCAGTATTCAATTGCAATTTCACATGAAATTAATTTCGCGCAATTTCCATTAACCTCAATTCGAAAAGGTGAATCAATATTTGATTACGTCAAGGGAAAACAGAGAGAGTGGAAAGCGAGATCCAGATGGAAGGGAGTTAAAGAGTGAGGCACATACAATGCACCCTATACTGTTATCAAGCTGCCGATGAGCAAACTGAGTTTTGTTGATGAAAAACAATCAGCGTAAGCATTTAACGACTGTTGGGAGGTGTAAGAATTGCTTTTGAAGTGATGAAAAAATCACATAAACTTTGAATACACTTTCTTTATGCTTCACACGTGGCTGCTGTGATTCTGACAGCGATTGACTCGCAGCTGTTAAAGTTGTAGGCGTAGCACGAGTAGGTGCACAATGGAAATTGAAAGGTATCTCCATGCGTGAAAATTGCGCTTGAGCCGCTTTCATCCAGTATTCAGCCGGAGTTCAGACTTGCCTATAGAATTCGTGTTCTTATTTGGCAATGGCTATGCTTACGAGATTGTTCTTGAATCGAAAATAACACGCCAGTTGTTTCGTGTCTTTCCTGAACGCGCCAACTGGAGACACCACGTGAAGTCAGCTCGTTCGCCATTTCGCCTTTTCAACGGTGTGAATCCTTCTTGTTTCTACGCTTCCACCAGCGACTAGTGCATTGAATACTTTCAGAGCTGGGGCGAGTTCGTCTATACGTGCGACAGGGCTGAGCTAGTGAGTCCACTGCCTTTTAGGTGGCTGAACTATGAACCCTTCTTCCATTATTCCATCGACGGCAGTATTCTCCGTTCCCAACGCGTAGCAGATCGTGAATGATATAGCGTGGATCAATTGTAGATTTCCCAAGGGCTGAAACCACATTGATAATGTCCGATGAATCCGTTGTCGGATTGTACCTATTACGCTCGACATGACCTTATCTTTGACATTGAGGAAGCTTATTCCACGTTATTTGATCCCCCGCCTTATGGATTTTTGATGACCCATTTACGTTCCAATTGTCGGATATGCTTTCGTCTGGCCATACATTCGCATCATCCTCGTTTATGTTTTCGGGTTCACCACCTCCATTTATTTTACCTATATTTTCAGTTCGTGGGCTGAAAAAGATTCAATAAATAATTTCCGATCTGGGTATGGGTGATTGGGCTTATGTAAGTTGCCTTCGAGCATTGCTAACGTACTTCAGCCTCTTCTTTTTGTCTGCAGATACATTTTGACATCGTGGCCATATGTCATAAACATCTATTCTCTTTCGGCTGTGTCCCATTCAAAGTATCTCCATAACGACGAGGAGCTGAATGCAAGCCTTAAAGTCCATAGTCAGCCCTTTCTACTCATCAGAATTCGAAAGCCTCATCCGCAATCTGAGTGGCTCGAAGTAAAATGATGACGTGTCTCTCAACCTCAGCGAATTATAAAACCTCTTAATATATTTGCCCATCAATCTTTCTAAAATATTAATCGGCTTGTAAAATGTTTGGGTGATTTTTCGTCACACAGTTTTCTCCATTGTCGGCGTGCAGAAAAGCGATGTTATGCTGTAGAAGACTCAACTAGTCGCTGATAAGATAATGTCACGAGGGGATGACGTCATCCGCACTTTTTGCATTCAATGCATAATTACCAAAATGATTGATTTCATGCAGATAAAAATTAAAATATTTTATAACATTTGCATGAACCGAAAGAAATTTGCTGGCAGTTGTTATTTGTTACCCGATGAATACCTACCAGTCTGAGTGGAAATTTGTTTGAGAATTTTTCGAAATAACACAGTGATAACTCACGTTTCACCTTCGCAGCCTTAAGATGCCTGGACATATGCATGGAGGTTTTAGAGCCGCACCCGGACCGGTAAGGATGAATATGGCCAAGAGTGCTCCAGGCATGCGCATGGGTGGTCCAGGACCAGCAAGAGTTGGTATGACAGCAATGGGACCCGGACCAGCAAGAGTTGGCATGGGTGGAGCACCACCGCCATCTTATGGTGGACGCCCACCAGCTGGAGCACCACCACCACCATCGGCACGTCCAACACAAGTGAATGTAAACGTGAACAACGCACCACGACCCATTGTAAACGATGTCGTTGTGGTAGGCGGTGGCGCACCATTACTACCCGCCGCAGGTATGATGCTCGGTGCATCAATGGTTGCAGGCGCTGCTGTGGGTGCAATGGCAGCAACGGCCATGAGTGGACCAAGGGAGGTCATTGTGGCTGCGCCACCACCACAGCCATCAACAGTAATTGTAAATACGCCCGGTGTGATGCCGCAGCAGCAGATGTCGGGCTCGTCGACGGTAGTGGTGAATTCCTCGTCAGCAGCAGCGATGCCAAATTCAAATGTGGTTGTGAACTCTGGCATGGGTATGGGCATGCCAGCGGCGTCATCAAGTACTGTGGTAGTGGAAAATGGCGGCCCAATGATGCAACAACAGCAACCAACAACAGTGGTGGTTGGAGGAGGCGGCCCGAGGCAGCAGCCAACGACTGTGGTCACAGAGACAGTAGTTATACCGCCTAAGCCGAGTAGTTGCTGCTGTGTTTTAATATGATATTGATTGGAAAACTGGGCAGGAGTGGTTGGTAGGAATAGTTGTAAGGAGGTTGATATAGAGCTAAGATATATGTATTTGTAACAATAAAAAGAATAATAAAAACTAATGATTTAAATATTAAATAAAGTTAGGAATATTTTCAAACTGATTTATAGAAAACATAAACAAAATTTTTTCATTAAAAAAGGTTTAAGACAAACTAAGAATCTTCTAAGAAAAATTCTTTACTGGACCTTGGTTCAAATAACTGGTGTCGTTCCTACAAACGAGATAACACCTTCTACTGGTTGACTTCTTGATATATCGGTGTTAAGACCGTGACAAGGTATGAGTCAAGATCTAGATATGGCTATTGTTGAGGTAAAATATCCAGGAAGCAATAGAACGCAGCACTGATTGCTATAACTCTTTTGCTTTCATTACAAAAGTAGTCAATCCCCCTATTGTATGCTAGAACTGGTGCAGCAGGCAAACCGCTCTAGAAGTAGTACAGATTTTCTCTATGGTCAATTATCGGATCTGTCTAATACCAGGCGAACTTATTTGCTGACGCGAGTCCCTTGGTATACGAGTGCGTACCTTTGCTGTAATGAGATAATGGTCTGAGTCAAATATTCGGTTCTCAAAAGGTACGAACACAGTTTATGAAAACGTGTTTCATCAGGTTACAAGGTTTTCGATTCGATAACAACAAAATAGCTAGACCAAGTTTATTGTCATGGAAACATCCATTACACACTACCATATTTCGGGCCCTACGAAATAAAATAGCTCCAACCCATTTTGGGAGCTTCCGATTCTGGCACCGAACATAACTGCTCATGCATTCTGAGCTTAAAATCAATCAAACATAATAATAGGTAGGAAATGAAACCTCTATGAATTTAAGCAAGGTCATCTTGAAAGGTGTTAGCTTCTACCTTCTGGTGAAGCTATTAAAAAAATCAGAACCCAAACTGAAATGGTGAAATTTTAACTTTGAATATTTTTATTTGTCGCAAAACTAATTTTTTTTTTAACCAAATATCATCAGACATAGATAACATTTTTTAACAAAACGTATTTTTCTTTAAACCCACTAAAATCCATAATTGTTTTTTAATCATTTTTTAAGCCGTAATTGGGCTTATGATGTGCACAAAACTCATTCGCTTATCAATGAAATTACACATGAATTTTTATATATAGATAAAACCCGTTTAAAGTACAAAACAAGCAGTATTTTTTCAGTTATTTTTTCTTTTATTTTTATTATTTTTTTATTTTTTCCATACCACCAAAGTTCGTTTCGATTATTTGACTCTTATAAAATTTTATTTTTTCAAAAAATTTAAAAAAAATTTTTTTAATTTTTACTTTAGAATTATTTTTATTTTTCCTTTAGAACTAAACTTCTCAAATTAATTAAAAAATAGTCCTTTCTCACTATTTATACTTTTGGTTTTTAATTTGCTAATTTATTTGTTCTTTTTTTAATTCAAATTATTACACGTCCCAATATTATAATAATTTTAGTTCTATTTATTTTGATTTAAATTTTAATTTAATTTTTCATTTATATGTTTATTTGATATTTTTTTTTTTTTGAATTATGTCTTTTTTCTTTTTAAATTATTATTTTTTCATAAAATCGCACAACAACCACCACCCGACGTGGTGACCGTCATCACCGGTGGCGGCGGCCTCTGCATATTCTCCACAACAACAGTGGTGCCTTGTTGACGTGGTGGATTGACAAATACCGTTGCAGGCGGCGGCGGACGTGGTGCATTCTCGACAATAACCACATTGGCGCCTTGTGGTCGCGGTGGTGGACCAACATTGATGTTCACCTGCGCACGAGCGGGCGGTGGCCCATAACCGGGTGGCGGTGGGCCATAGCCAGGTCGTGGTGGTCCATAGCCTGGTGGTTGGGACATGCTGACTGGGAGTTGTGACTGTGGTGTGGCTGTGTCACTAGCTAATGAGTACTATAGTGATGGATTTGTTTGAAATTTTTGCCTTAAACTATTTTTTCTCTCATCAGCTGGGGTGTGCCACTCGATAGGGACACCACTTGGCGCACGCTGCTTCGTTTGTGAACTGACTGAGTGTTGGTGGCAGTTGTCATTTCAGTAGTCAATATTTGTTGACTTGTATATTTTTTCGCATTTGAAAAAATTATTTGGTTTTTAAATATTTTTTGTTTGATTTTTTTCTTTGGTGCAGCACATCAATCAATTAGTAATTAAATTCTTAAACACATACATACATACATAAATACATGGTCAGTTGGTCGACTGGTTGTATGTACATACAATTTGGTGTTATGTGAAAAAAAGGAATGTCAAAATTAGTATCAAAATTATTTATCTTATCTCATGTGGTTTAAGGCGTCGCTATTTGCACTCATACACAAGCGGATACATATTTACATACACATTTATTTTAAATCCAAACACATGCGTTAGTGTTGCTTCTCATCTGCTGATAAGTGGGTTTGTGTTATTTTATTTACATTTATTTATGGGTAATTGGTATGTATATATGAATGTGCCTGCGAAATAATCAACAATACGTTTTAAGTGAGCCAAAATATTTATGCCTCAATTTAAATAATAAAAAAATGCTCATCTTTTTTTAAAGTCGATCACATCAAAAACCAGAAAAGGCAAAACAACAAATATAATTAATTTTTTTTAATATTTATTATAACTAAATATTATTTAAATTAAAAAATTTATTTTTCGTAAATTAAAAAATTAATATTTTTTAAATTACTTAACTTTATTACATTTATTTTCTTCGAAAACTGTTAAGCAAAAAAACTCAAATTTTCAAAATTGAACCAGTCCACTTCTGTTCCATTTTGAACTAGTATAATCCTGATATATGTTTAAACCAAACAAAATTTGCCAATTTTTTAAAACAACAGTTCGTTTAGTACAAGAAAAACTTGTATACGCGCTTAAGATACTAGTTTTAAAGTAGGTTTTAAGTAGTTATTTTAGCAACAACTTAATATTTTATCTTCCCTCAGCATTTTACTGCACATCTCACTATATGATTGCTATTGAGATACATACAATCCATTGACAAAGCGCCCAGCTGGCGCACTTTTGGCAAACGACTTATCCGGTTATTGTGCGTCGTTGAACATGCTATTTTCTGCCTTTCACTGTTTTTGGCACTTCAACACGTTTCTGGCTTATTCTACGCAGCTATTAGTTTTCTTATACTTGCATACCTTTTTTACATAGCCTTAGAAGATATTCGATGTTGGTAGTTTTAGTTTTCACTTTCGTATTTTTAATTTCCATTGTCTTCCTTATTCCCAGTGACTTAGTGACACTTTTTTATCGTTGACCTGTGCATGATTTATTTGGTTTTGGTTCTGCCTTTGTCTTTTCATTAAAGATTCAGGTTACCAGTGCCAACTGCTGGTGTCTCGTGTACCAGCAATTTAAGACAATGGGCTTGTACGCTCCAAACGAAGCCTCATCATTATATTCACCACCACCGTTTGCCTTTTTTTTACAATATTTAACGCAAAGTAACACGTTTGTTGTAGATACCCGCTGTGAAACTCTCTCCTTTTGCAATTTCTACTCCATACTTTGGTGCTACTTAAGCTCTTTCTTATATCTTCTTCCACTTCTCTCTTTGCTTTGCCTCCATTCGCCACGAAACAACTAAAGCACTTCATTTTCGAGCTCACATTTCCTTCTTTTATTTTCACTCATTGCTCATTCCTTGCCTTTCTGACTCCACTTGATGTGTCAGTCTTGTACTGGAGTGGTTGGCGGTGTGAATGTGTGTGACGCTGCAGGCTCAACTGACTGAAAAATACATTTTTCTGCGCTTCCTCAGCTCGTAACTGCTGTTTGCTGGATTTGTTGTCTCAGTGCTCAGATTAGTTTGTTTAAAAATTCAAAGCGGAAACTGCTGCCAAGTATATTTTTTTCGCCTATTTCTTTGCTCTCTGCTTCTCTTTTCATTCGCTTCTTCTTTTTATTTTTTTTTCTTTTTTGGCTGTTTTCAGCTGGAGTTAGCTTTGTTGTAAAGTTGGCTGAAAAGTAGTTGTATCGACACACTGCTAGGTGTTGTTGACCCTTTAAGTGGCTGGTAGCTCCAAACAACAAGAACACACCCAAATAATGAAGTCGAAGATGAGTGTTGTTGGGAATATTCACAATGCTGCAACTACATCCAGGTACTTTATTGTACGTAGTAACACCGCTAAATTCTCATAAGCTATTCAGCAAAATATTAAGCAAGAAAAAAGGCAGTGTTTCCAACAAATGTTAGCTGCTAAAAGTTTTGCAAAAACGCTTAAAAGTTTTTCACTGTGGAATCGAATATTTCCGCAGCTCTTTTCGCAATCATTTTGCACTTTAAAGCTTCACATATTTGTAAAAATCCCTCTAAATTATGCTAAGCTTATCAGCGGTGTATTCAGCTATAGTATAGTAAATAATTAATGAAAATAATTGTTTGCCTACTAAGCGATTTTTCATTTTTTTTTCGCTATTCAGCGGCATAATTTTCATTTAATTAAACAATAATATGTAATTTTGCTTAGTTCTATTATGAATTGATTACTGTTTAAGGCTGATATGCTTTAAGCTTGAAATTCAGCTACTAAATGAAATGCAGCATCACCATTTTAGAGTATGCATCGTATTAAGCATTAGAATTTTATATGAATTTGTCAAATTTTTTCTTTTACTGCATTGAAAATAATTTTTTGCATACTGAACGCCTTTTAAGCAGGCTATTCAGCGGCATAATAAGAGGCATAATTTTTATTTTATTTAGAAAAAGTGTAGTGCCTTAATGAATTGCGTCAATTTTAAAGCTTATGTGCTCTAAGCTTGAAATTCAGCATTGAACTGAGAATCAACAACATATTGTAGTTTAAGAGTATTCAGCGTTGAAATTTTGAAAAAATATGTGAAAATTTTTATTTTGTTACATTGTTGCAAGTGATTTTCTGACTACTAGGCTTTACTTCTGTGAATTCAGCTATTCAGCAGAAATTTCATCAATACGTTTTCAACTAATATATCAGTATTTTTAATTGTACGCTATAAGTTATTATTCTACTATTCAGCACGTAAGTTTGTATAATTTAAATTAATCATTACATTTATTTTTAAAATATTTTTGTGAAGCATTTGTTTTAAGCTAGAAATTATAATTTCACTTAATTTTCTTTAAATAAAAAATTATGTATTTAATTCGGCTCTCCTTTCTTAAAGAACCAGACTACTTTGTTAGCTACTTATTCAGCTATACAGCTGGCAATTAATTTTTTAATTGGAAGTCTAGTATGTCACTGTTAATTAAATGGCATGTATTCAGCTGCTGAATTGTTGTTTATCTCTGTTTTCAGCTATTCAGCACAACCTCAGAATATTAATTTGTGTGCGAACTCTAGCTGCATGCGAAAGAGCGGCACACATTTCACAAATAACTTAAAATATAACCAATAATTTTCTATTTAGCTATTCAGCATAATATTCATTAGCTTTTTCTGTCAAAAATCAAGCCAAAAATGCAATTGAAATCTTTAATGTGACAAAAATTTCAAAAAAAGTGAATCAGATTTTTTTCCCTGCCAATTTATTGGACTATTCAGTCAGTTGTTTACTGAGTTAGTGTGCCAATTTTATGGGCGTTCTCTGTAGACCACCAAACGTATGTATATATGTATGCAAGGCATGAAAAGGGCGTTTGCTTCTGCTATTTTTTATTCCATCTATAGTTTTTATCGAATTCATATGTTAACTATATGTTTGAATATTGTAACTTTTTCTAATGCAGCAACAAAAAAGCTAACCATTCACTATCCTTTTAGTATTCTCTCAGAGCTGACAATTTGATATACAGGTATTAGCATTAGACAGAAATGGTAGTCTCCCATTTTGCTCTCTGTTAGCTGTGTAAGTGTTTTAGGATGTCGATGTGTGAATGTCTATGGAATAGGACTTACATCCAAAATACTCCTACCCAAAAGGATACCAACACTATAATGTTACTCCTGCCAAATTCCTAAATTATTCACTAACTCACACATCCATTCCACTGTAGATTATTAAGTGGCCCAAATAAACCGGCCTTGTATTCGTCAAAAGCCATGAAGTTGCTATTAAAGCTTAGAGCAACTAAGACTCTTGCTTCTTCATATATATACATACATATATAAGTGGCGGATAAGTGCACAATCAATTAGACTTATACCAGTCTCCATTAGTGTGCATTTAAATTAGCGGCTTTTCATGGGAAAGCTAAAGTAATGGAGGCATATTAAAATAATCGACGACTAAAAATATGTAAAAGACAGATGAAGCGAGTGTAATTTAAAGCGCATTAAAAGTGGAAAATAAAGAACTCAAATGGTTTGAAGACGACGCACCGAAGAGACTAATTTTTTGTGCAATATTTTTCAGATCGGAAATACAGAAGACATTTTCAGTTGGTTTGAAGAATATAAAATAATATTTATGATACCACTCACATTTCGCTAAGCTGATAAACTATTGTATTACAGACCTAACTTATTCATCAGTTTCTGTAACCCCATTATTTCTCTTGTAAGCTCTTGTTTATTTTTATATCATATTAAGTTTTTGATTTTTTATGCTTTGGCTTAATCTCTCTACTCACCCTGGATTCATTTTAGCTAGCAATCGTGATCTTATGCGATCTCTTTCCGTCACCGATGTAGGTTGTGCAGTTATTTCACTCTGACGTTCACGTTCAATACTAGCAGAGAGTTCATTATTAGTGATGGTTGAGCTGACGGAAGTAGAAAAATATATTTTGTATATTATTATTTAATAAATTTTGTATATTATTCTTAGAGATATTGGAAACTGCTTTAAAAATGTAATAAAAAAGCTGAGTATAAAGAGCGGCTTTAAATATTATTAAAAAGAAATATTGGGTGTGTGACTTTGATAAAAAAAATAATTATAAAAATAATTAAAAATCTAATCTACAGAAATAAACGCAGCGTATATTTATGCTGTTATAATTTATTTAAGCCAAGACGCACACCTTTTAATTTTTTTTCCAATAATAAACTTCACAATTATCTTAAAATAAAAGTAAATATGCAAAAATGTGAGATAATATATTTTTTTAATTCATAAAAGGCAATCAAAAATAGGTAATTTGCTTTTTACATAAATAGAAATTTAAAATGCTTATTGCACAAAATTCCCAATTATATTGAAAAATAGTTTATTATAGAATTTATCAACAATATTAGGACTAAATTAATTCTTATCTTCTTTAACATACATGATGTATGCAGCATTGCCTATATTTTGGAACATTTTTTATTTAACCTAAGAAACTATCCGATTTTTTTTCTTGAATTAGAAACAATTTTCTAAATTTTTTTGGATAATAACCGGAAACAATAAATGCGAAAAATTGCGAAAATTTCCACAATTTGCATATTTTACCACTAAAAATTACCTATTAAGGAAACTCATTTCAAACACTTAAAAATTCTGCTATATACGTGTATGCTTCCTTATGACTTACTCATGTTCCGCTTCCAAATGTGTTTGCGTCTTCACCGTCTCATATTTCCGATCATCCTCGGCAAAGTTGAAAACTTCACTCAGCTCATACTCCTTCAACTGTGAAAAAGAACGAAGAAACGAATAATGAAAAACCAGAAACAAAGTCAAAGCAGAGAAAATTAGCGCAGAAAAACACACACACACACGAAAGTTAGTTTCGCGACTTAGCGAATGATAGAGAGAAAGCGCACAGAAAAGAGCAGGATATTGGCACAAATTTAAACACCACTACAATATGAACAATAACAAAAACGCTAAGACAAACAACAGCAACAGACAACAGACAAAAGACGCGACTAAAATGGCCAATTAGCAAGGCAATCAGCTTAAATGGAAAACGCTCAGCTAGGCTCATCACAGCTCAGCACAGACTCAGGCTCCAACTCAGCGTGAGTGAGTGAGTGAGGCTGAAAGCTACTAGTGAGTTTAACAAGGCGTTGTCGTTAAGTAAACAAGAGTGGATTTAAGTTATATAAATGCACACATTAGGCATATATATTATTTGCAATATATTAAACTATATACAGTATTATACTGATTTATATAGCGGTATGTGAGGTTGTGCTGTTGAGTGTGATTTGGTATGCTTTTTTTGTGTGTTCTGAGATGACTTTGTTTGCAAGGCCTCAACATTTAATTGTATTTTGACAAATACTTTTTGTTTTTTTTTCTTATTTTTTTTTTTTTTTTTAATTTTATCTAATTATTTTAGGTTTTGCTGTTCTTGCTATCATTCTTCTTTGTGGTTTTTATGTAATCGTATGTAAATTTGTTTGAGTTGGGTGAGACAAATCTAAAAAAAAAATACTTGTTTTCTCTCTTGCGCACAAAAATTTTAAAAGTTTACTTAAACTTTTGTTGCCTGGAAAGATTTCTTCAAACTCTCTTCCGAGAAAAAAACATTTTTGGTGACCTCTGCATTTCCCATTTTTTGTTTGCATTTTCCACCTAAATTTTGCGTTCGAACGTACTTTCAAAAATTAAAAAAAAAAAAATTCTTTCGCAGAAAAGATTAATTAATTTCTGTTCCGCTTTAAAAATAAAATAAAAAAAACTTTTAGAATTCATCTTTTATGCGACTCCGCGACTCAGATAACTCCAAGTTTTCAAAATTTTGAGGCTGTCTTTCTTAATGACCTTCCCAAAAGAGCTGTAAAACCTTTACTCAGATCCAAACCGACTAGATCAATTTGTAAAAAAAAAAAACCCAATATTCTTCAAACTAGAAGCACAACAAAGAGTGTAGTGAAGACATTTCCATAAGGCCAAAGGTCGCGGCACCGCGGCAGATTTCACGTCCCAGTCGGCTGAATGCTAAGCACTCGCTAAGGTAAACCCCCAATGTTAACCTCCTCTGTGCAGGCTCTACACTTTGAGGATTTTATTTTAGCTAGTTTTTTTGATATAATATCTTAGCGGTAGTTGCCTTGTCTTAAATGTTCTCCCAAATAGCATTGCACTAAACAATATTTGAGGCAGCCGGTCAGCGGTGCCAGCACGTGGCGAATGAGCTAGCGCCACACAATATTAACCCATGACAGTCTGTTCATTGCCTGTCTACATATTTTCACTCACTTAGACTTTTTGCTTACACATTAAATTTATTTAATTGCCGTTTGGTTTATTAAACTGTTTGCCTATTCGGTGCCTTTAGATGCGCCCACAATCTCTACTTGAAAGGCAGACTTGTAGTCATTTAGTTTCAAGCTACCTTGACTATTGGGCGGACTCAAAAGAACCCTGCGACTGTGCTGCTGATTGGCATTTGGACCCTTGGCCACCAATTTTTCATATAAGAATTCAAATGCACGCTCTATTGCCGATTAGGAAGCTTGCCAGAAGAAAGTTTTGAATATACTTATTTTTGGTACAAGATATATATTTTTTTTATTTTATAATATTATATATATAATACAATATATATTTCCATTTTTTTGATTTCCATTTTTTTTTTCATATATTTCTTAACTTATTAGCCTTTCAGGAAAACAGTAAAAAAAATGTTTTTGTTTTTATTGCTAAAAAAATCCAATATTATCCCAAATCAATAAAGCTTTAGCCGCACACCCACAAAAAAGAAAAAAAATATATACATAAACAAAGAAAGTAATAACAACACCAACCAAAAACAAATAGAAAAAACTCCGTAAAAGCGCATACCGAAATTCCAAAGCAACACAAAAGATTATATAAACAACTGCATGCCAGAAAATTTGCACAGATTTGTTTGTTTGTATGTGTATTGCTTATATGTATGTGTACACCACCAATAAACACACGCGTCAACAACGCATCGAAGCTTTTTCAACAAATGCCTGGCGCGCGCGCTACTCGTATAAACACGGCAGCTCATTTACACATTCCAATCGCGCTTAATCGCTGCGGTTAGGAATTTCCAGCGTTGCTATAAGGCCGCAGCAGAGAAAATTTCACATTTTCGCAGGAAGAAGATTAGGTTCTATATATGAAACGATTTGTTCACTGCTGGGCGGAATCGTTAATGCTATGAGCAGAGCTCACTTTTTTATTTTCTTTACTCCTTCATTTTCCTCGACGGGCTGATATTAATACTTGGAGTGCTAGTGAAGTTATTGTATGGGCGTTCAGTTCGAAGAGAGTAAAAAAAATACTATATGTATATATGTATGCACGCACACGTACATACTAAATAAACAAACACGACTCGCTAAGGCAGCTGCAGCGCTCGATTAAAACTGCCGCATAGAAAAGGCAGCGCAAATTCGCAATAGAAAGTACAAACCAACAATAAGTAAGAAAAAACCACGACAAGCACGACAAGAAAATTGCGCTCTTTGCCTGTGGTGAACACAAAAACCGTTAAGCACAAAAATGTGTTGGTAACCACAAACAAAAATACTTAAGAAACTTCGGCATCGTTTGTGTTTAACTCAAAAACACGGAAAACAACAATAAATACTATTAGTAAATACTTTTGTTCTGTTGCTGTTAGTGTTGGTGTTGTTGTAGTGAAACTAAAAAGAAATTAAAATGTGTGACAGCATTCAGCTGAGGCTGAGATGGCGCTCAGGCAACTGTGTGTGCTTGGAAAGTACTTTCGGTGAAAATTATTGGAAAACTCCGAGTATGAATAATGGGTGTGGGTATATATGTGCTGGAAGAGTGATAACTATGGAAGTTTATTGTAAACATATGAACTGGTTATTTAAAGTTCAAGTTTCAGGTATTGATTCGAAGAAAATTTCAGCGCTGAAATAAATAGCAATTTTTCGATAAGGGACCTTTCAATAAATGGCATATTTTGAAAAAACAAAATGCTTGAGTTTGATAAAAAAAATATGTAAATTGAAAGTGCCAAGAGTATAGAATTTTAGAAATATTGAAAGCCATGTATATAAATATATATATAACATAATTATTATATAACATATTATAATATTTTTATATATATTCTTTAAACAACACACAATGGTTAATCAGAAGCTCCAATTGGAAATTCATAAACAGAAAGTGATTTTAATTCAATATCCATGTAGCTGCCCACTGCCACAAGACTACCTATAGAAATTAATTGACACAATAAAGACTGTGATTTGTATGCATGAAGANCAAATAATATAAAAAGAGATAAAATAAAATAAACTGAATTTAATATATTTACAGTAAATTAAATTATGTACATTAAAATTAAATAATAACAAATTAGTTTTATGCAGTAAAATAAAAAGAATTAACTAAATAATCTAAAATAAAATAAAAGTACCAAAAATTAAATAAACTATTAATATAAATAAAATAAAAAAATTTAATATAATAAAATAAAATAAATTTAATTAAACTACAATAAACTTTAGTAAAATAAAATAAATTTAGTAAATTAAATTATTATTAAAAAATTAATTTGCAATTAAATAAAATAAAATAGCATAAATTGAATTAAAAAAAGTAAGTAAACTAATAAAACAAAATAAATTATAATAAAACAAAGAAACTTAAAATAAAATAAAATTAAAGTAGAATAAATTAAATTTTCTAAAATTACATTGAGTAAAACAAACTAAAATTAGATAAAATAAAGGAAAACCAAATAAATTATTATGAAAAATTATATAATAATAAAATAAAGTAGCATAAATTAATTAACTAAAATTATTTAATAAAAACTAAATGTCAACTAAATGAAGTGAAATAAATTATAATAAAATGAAATAACGTAAAATAAAATTAAGAAAAAAAAATTAATTTAAAATAAAATAAATAAATAATATTATTAAAATTAGACAAAATAAATTAAAATTAAAAATATAAAATATAGTTGCAATTTAAGTTATACAACACTTAAAAAGTACCGTTATCATTCTTAATCCTCAGTAATTATTAGATTTATTTCGCCGCAAATTTTCCGTGGTCCAAAAGTTGGAAAGCCTTACGAACGGTCTGCGATTTCACAAAACTAAAGAGCTTAAGGAAATAGCACTGAAGGAAGAGCGTATTAGAACTATTTAAAAAACTCCGATGCATGTGACAGAGGTCTTCTTTGTGGAAGACATAAAGTAAATGTAATTTGTTATATGTTCCAATTTTAAAATAGTATGCGACTGTTATAATTAATAAGAATTACATTTCTATAAGCAAAATGATTCACGTACTTTTGCACCACAATGTCTTTGCATATCTATATGTGTTAGTGTACGATAGCACTGTCCAGCAAAGGTCACCTCAATTAAGTCGAATAAAATCCCTAAAATATGTTCTCATCCATACAACCAACGCCCGAAAGTAGGCAAACATAAATTTTTGTTGCCAATAAAACTTCTATGCTGCCTTGAGCGCGCCTACGAAGGAGTTAGATACTCTTACAGTAGCTTTAGCATTACTCTAAATGCTGCTCAGCAGCCATAAAATAACTGGGCTAAAAGGAAAGTTCATGTAAATGACCATTAAAGTGTCCAGCGCATAACCACAAATAGGCAAAAGGCAGTCTAAAAACGCCCACAAAAGTGTAAAAACAAACACATGTACATGTACGCCTAGGCATATAATATCATGATGAAATACACAGGCATAAAAAATTAATGTAGCAAACAGCACACAGATGATGCTAATGTACGACGTAAGAGCTTGAATGCAAATAAATGGGATATGTATGTGTGTGTAACGAAATAGCTTCATAAATATAAAACTATGACTCTGTATACGTGTAACTGACATATTTCTTCTTTACGAGGGTGGGTGTGTGTGACTTCTCAAACTTATACGTATGCTTTGCTGGCGCTATTTATTTGCGCAGTACTGTACACACGTATTTGTGTGGGTGTATCGTTGTCGTTGTAGAGCCATTTCTACGAGTGGACTCATTGTAATTATACAAACGCCTCCAATTTCTATTTTACGACCACAAAACGTCGCCGCCAGCAGTGGTACCAAAGTCAGTGGTGTGTTCGTGTGTGTGGTTGTGTGTGTGGTTGTGTGTTTATGGTAGAATGGACATGGAAATTTTGGTAAATGCCAGCGGCAGTCGTAGAGTAACCGCAGAATATCCACTATGTGATGGCATATATATGTTCGTACATATGTATGTGACTGCATATACATAAATATACACTACATATATATTTTCATCATGCTCAACGGCGCATTTTTGTAGACGGTTTGGGTGATTTGTGAGCTTAATCGCACCTTAACCGCATTTGCCAGCTCAACAAAATTCTCTTCAATTTTATGAGAATCAATGCAGGCTGAGTAGCCTTATTTGCCTTTTGGGCTCAGCGCTGCCTTCATCACTATCACGTGTTTTAGTTCTCATTTATTATTATGTTTTCGTGCTGTATGACCCTGAGCTATGGAATAGATTGGTGGTCACTATACTTTTACTAGCTGTACGTTCAATCAGTCCAATTGGAGGCAAGTGAGTTTGCGTTAAAAGAAAATGCATCGCAAATGGTCCAGCATAAGTCTTAACCCTAAGTGATTTCTTCTTAAGGCTTTAATTTGAGTAGTTTAGACTTGAAGGATTTGCGGAAAAATCGCTTATAATACTATTTTACCGTTTCCATAGCAACGTCAATTGATCTCCTCCCTCTGCTGTTGATTCGTAGATATCTATTTCCTGGAATTGAAAATACCGCTAGTGAGCAGAGTCTAACTAACCTTCCCAGTTCAGCTGCTTAGGTTACATCGGTCGAATGTATGGAAATATTTTCGCCCTGTTAAAAGCGCGGAAGGAGAAAAAAACCTCAACTCTGTTGAAAATATCAGGTGAAGAAAAATCGGTCTCCCCAGATCAGAGCGCATGAAACCATCTGCCAGCGTGCCCAATAATTGTAGCTAGGCTTACAAATTTTAAACTCTAGAGGCAAGAATTAAGGCCGAATGAATATGAAGGGCGTCATAGGTTCGAGATACCAAACAATTCCGATTTTCACAAAAAAATTTTTTTTAGTGATCAATCTCACTTTTGCTTAAATGGGTACCTGAATAAACAAACTTGTCGCATTTGGAGCGATGATAATTGGCAAAGCATTGTACAGACGCCTTTACATCCTCTAAAAGCCACTGTTCGATATGATCCATGGGCAGAGGGAATCTTTGGTCCACATTTCCACAAAAATGTAACAGTCAGTGGGAGCACTATAGAGCAAGCATTAATCAGTCCTTCGGGCCTAAGGTGGAGGGTGTTCACGTGGATGACCTTTGATACCTGCCATACAACCAATGAAACAATCAATATATTGAAGAAAACTTTTGGTGAGAGCATTACCTCGCGTAGCGGTATGTACCACGGAATACTTGATTTTACAATTTAAAATCGCTTGAAATTTTCTTCTGAATTCAATTGTCTACGCAAATAATTGCCAGACGATTGATGACATGAAAGAAAGTGCTCTATGCATTATTTAATTAAATAAAAAATTTCTGCGAACCTACCGCGGCGCTCACTCTGCCTAAAGAATATTACAAACCCTTCTCATTTTTATGAAACTAATTTTTGACTATGAAATTAAATTCTATGCGAATCCTTATACTCGTATGTCTTAAAAAAATATTCCTCATAAGCAGATTATGCCTTTTTAGGGTTGAGCATAGATTGTGTTAAACGAAATGCCACATAAATTTGGTCAGCATTTGTATTGTGTCAACTTCAATAGTGGCGACAGAATACTAATTTTGTTTAGTCTCGTTTTTGTGGGACAAATATTTCCTTTGTCCATAAGAAAGAACAAAAAATCCTTATTTATTGTGTAATAACAATCTGAGCAGCATTTTAATCATTGCTTAGGCCAATTTTTTCCGTTAAAGTAAAAACAACAATAACAACAACTATAAAGCAACACAAATGAAAGTACGGTCCACCTTAATGAGTTCACTACAAATCCCTTATACGAGTACACAATACACCACACTCACACTGCGCCAATGCGCTGCTTGACTGACTCCCGCTGAATACGGTAATTAAGCGGATGTCCTCATTGCGCGTAAAGCTCAAGCTGACAAATGCATATAAGTGCTGTATAGATGTATGCGTTGTTGGGCTGTGCGTGTGAGCTGAATCACAACACCTACATTTAGCATGTAATTTGTATGTAATTAAATAGATTTTTCTTCCCAAGCAGCGGAAGTGCAGCCGTTGTTGTATGTTGGCAATTATGTTTGAAGACACAGAGAAATATTTGGAGCTGGTCAAGAAAGTGCCAGTCTGCTACCAGTCAGAAATCTATCTAGTTCAAAAGTGGGAAATTTCTTACAAATTAGAAACTAATAAATGTTAATTTTTTTTAAATTAATAATATATGTTTTGATACTTTTTTTTATCATATTTAATTGAAATATATATATTTTTAAAATTTTCTTTTACTAAGCTTTCCGTCCTTTACTTTTAAGATTGCCTTGATTTTTTAAGTATTTATACTTTTTTTATTTTTTTTAATATTATAAATTATTTTAAAATTAATTTGAATGTATATATAATAGGCTAGCAATTTTTTTTCCCATAAAGAACTTTTTTTGTCAGTTTGTGCTCTTTAACTTAGTATATTTCCATATTTTATGTTCTCAAACAAATTTTTTGACCCAAATATAGACTAGTGACTTTTGGGTGAGAAGTGAACTAGTAGTTTTATGTCTTTTTTTAACTGGACACTATAATGTGTTCAACTAAGCGAAGTAACCTAGTATATTAATTTGTGTTTTCGAACTAGTATGAGTGTAATATAATTCTGATACTTATAATATTTATATATTCCTCTTTGGGAAATGAAAAATAAAAATGTCTTTTTTTTTCTTTTTTACTAAAAATTTACTAAAACTGGCAGTTTTTAAACGGGTATGAGCATAGAGTATATCCTGTAATATTGCCCTTTGGGTCCTCATATTTTGAGTCAAAGGGGAGACAGTTATTTTTTGTTATATAAAAGCGTAGCAAATTTGTTTTATTTTTTGTTTTCTTTCAAACTAGTATGAGACTAGTACATTTCCAGAATTTTTTGTGCTATGATAAAAAATGAATTTGCAATATTTTGGTAAAAAAATGTCTTCGAAATTTAACGGTGAAAGAACTTAACTAGAAATATATCTTTAATATTTGATATATTTGATTATGATTGTGTTATATTTCCATTTTTTTGCTAATTTTAACTAGTATTAGACTAGTACACTTTGAGTTAGTTGTGTAACTTGTTTGGTTGCTTGATAGATTTTCATATCTTACTTCACTGCACAATACGTATATAAGTATAAGTATGCATTTTTATGAATGTGGCATGCCACATTAGCTCGCATAAAAAATTGTAAGAGGAAATTTTGCGTGATTTCTTGTCATTTGCCAGATTTACTCCAAATTTATATATACATATATATATATATATACATATATTATATATATATATATATGCATGTGTTATTTAGTTTTTCTTTTCCATACACGCACATTTATGTTTATTTATTTGTTTTAATGAGCCTACACACAGACTCTGCCCCACGAATTTGTTGCACACCAAAGCTAGCCGGTGCCGTTAATGGGTCATTAGTATTCTCATTTTTATTCTATTTCATTTCAGTTGCACGTCCATCACACAGTTTTAGACGCTTTTTCATGCCACATTAAAATTTTATTACGCATATGCATATATATATACATATGTGTTTGTGTACGCATATGTGAGTATGTTTGCTTGCTATTTGCCACATAAACATTAATATTGGTCGTGCGTTAATTGCTGCATGTGGCAAGTGCAACTGATTTGCTGTTAATTAAGTGTAGCAGCAGCTGTCATAAGATTACAAAAACAAATGCAGAAAATAAAAAAAAAAACATGCAAAAATTAAGAACAAATGTTGATGACAGCTTTACTGTGTGTGTTTGTTGTAGTTTTTGTATTTATTGCTGCACAATTAATCAACATATCAAGCAAAGTAGCTAATTGCGAATATTTTATCATTAACTTGTTTATTTATTACATATTCACTTATGTATATATGCATATGTGAACTTTTCTCATTTCGGCAACAAATTTTATTGCCTACTTTTACGCGCGTACTCTGACGCTCAGTGCTGCTCTGCCGCATACACTTACTCTCATTCAGGTACACACTCACTCACTCACTCACTCTCCTGCTCCTTTACTAACTCTTCTTCACACTCCTCCTCTTACACTTTTGCACTAACCTTAATGAATTGAAATGTCGCTATCGGCGGTAATCGTTTGCTCTTCGGATAGAAGAAACTGCTCGCCGGATGTGCTGGATAGCGTGAAGTGATGCGATAGATGACACCTTGCGGCGATGTTGGCCAATTCGGTGCGGTAAAGGTGAAACCATTATCGGTGCCCGCATCGAGTGGATCCATTTCGACTGTAACAGTATCAATCCAAGAGCCGCCAACGCAAAGCTGCAATAATAATTTAATAAAAATTATATAATTAAATTATTTATTTAGTGGTCGAATGGTTGCTGGAGGATTACGGCAGGCTATTATATAAATATGTTAAATATATATGGTATGCACATATATATATATATATAAATGAAATCTGTGAGTGCACTTTTGATCTTTGTGGTTCCGTAAAAATAGCAGTATTTCTTTTATGTTATTTAATTAATTTTTATATTTTTCTTTATGGTATGACATTTTTATGATCAAACATATTGCATAATTGGTAATAACTTCTTGTGACCGAATATTATCGATATTTATATTTATTGCAAGTAAGAAAAGTGGATGTGTGTGTGCAAAAGAAATTTGGCAACATCGCAAGGAGAGTCAGCTTAACGATAAATAAAAACGCTGAGAAATATGTACAGAAGACATCAGAAATTTCAGGAAATATTAAAAACTAATCAGAGAGTGAGAGAATTGCTTGAGAGAATTTTTGATGTAGGGAGCTATTTTTGAGTAGACTATAATCTGGAAGGAGTGATTTCGCAGAAGAATGAGCTAAAAGCTAGATTTGGCTGTTGAATACTTACTGCGAGATGAACTCTTACAGGAATTTGAAAGGGTTAAGAGATGCATTGTTGCCTTAAATAGAGGGGCTTCCATTAAAAAAATTTCAGTGAAATCTAAGAATCAGCTAGCAGGGATTTGTCACGACTCTGAGCACAATAATTTTTTTTTTTTTTTGGTGTAATGGAGATGATTTTGTGTGAGAGAAAAATGGGATACTATCTAATACTTTACCAAGAAAAAGAATAAGTTTTGGATGAGAGGAACGGAACCTTTTTATCGGAACAAAGATTTGTCAATTATTCCCGACCTTCACTAAAAAAGTATTCTTATATCTATATGATTGATCATCACTTTTTTAAATAATTTCCTAAAAATTAAATTTGAATATTACTTTCCAGTCTTCACATGATTTACGAATGCATAATTTAAATTTCTTTTTTCAATACAAAATCGGTATATAAAAGTATAAGCCTCAAATCGTTGAAGTATACTTTTAGGATGAAAAAAATCTGTAATTATTTCTATAATATAAGAAAAGCCGTAAGCAAATACAAAAATTTGTTTCCTTTTTTCTCATTTCTAGCCCAAGACCGAACATTTTAATTTCTTCTGCCTAAAAAAGAGATGAAAAAAAAAATAAATAAAAAAAGTGAAATTGCATATTCCGCTTTCAAATATTATTTCGCAAATCATGAAAACAAATTTACATTCCTTGTGTAAATATATAATCAAATTACATTTACTTTTTCACCATGAGTAATAGTGATTCCTTTTATCAACGAGATTTTAACTTTCCCTTTTTAGATCAACAACAAGCGGCGAAATCACAATGATGAAGCATACTTTTCAGCGCAAATACAGTGAGTAAACTTTTTTCGTGACTCTTAATAATATAACACAAGCAGCTATTAAATGAATTCGACTGTGAATATTTGTATATGTGAATGTTTGTATATTTGTATGTTTGTATGTGATTGTCGTCACATTAATTGGAAAAGCATTACTGTCAGCTTAAGGCTATCGATAATGATATTCATTGCGCGCTCAAATGTACGCTACGTACTTACACATAAATACATTGAATAAGCTAGCCTGAGTGTATTCTATGTAGACATACATACATATACATTACTGTATATTTGAAAGAAAAACTGTGTAATGTCAATGCTATTAATGTAAATCGACACAAATCGCATTAGTAAAATGTGATATGAAATGCAGAAAGATTGTGTGTACAATGAGATTAAGAGCTTGATAAGGGCATATCATACAGAGTAAGAGGGAGAGAGTGCTTATTATAGGGTAGTGAGAGAAATTCTAGTTTAAGTATGCGATTTGTGTGGAAAGTTGAAGCAGCTGTAAGAAGAGGGATTGGATGAGTGCAAACGGTCACCGTGTAGGACTTTAAGAGAATTTTGAACTGGAGAAAGTACTTTTTTGGCATTACCGTGTACGAAACCCACAGTGCTATGAGGTAGGCCAAAATATAATTTCTCAATTCTAAAGAAAGAAATTTGTGTTTCCCAATATGAAATTTTACAATATATTCTTATTTGAAAAAAATACAATATTTCTGAAGAATAATTATGTGCTACCAGATTTTTCGGAATTTTTTTTCTTAATGCCAATATGATGTAATATGCATTTCATTTTTTTTTTTTTTGAAAGGCGGTAGCACTACACAAAATCATTTTATTTAAATTTTACTTTCCCCTATTTTCAATACAAATATTTTGTACCATTCTTTCAAATATTTTCTCACAATTTTCTTGGACATGTAACAGCACTATACAAAATATTGTAGCTAAATTTAAATTTCTTTAAAAAATTATATTCTTCAATTTAAATCTCCATTATTATAATTCAGAGTTCCATTGGGTGCTAAACTTTTATTTTACTTATTTTTTATTTTTTACTACAGCACACTGAAAAAAGGTGTCATTCAGCTTTTCTAAACTTTTTCTGCTCTAAAATTTTTTTTATCGATTTATTTAATAAAAAATAAATAAGTTGTAACTCTTTTAGAAAATATAACCATAAATTATTAATTTTATTTGCGTTTAACATCACGTCGTTGCTGCAGCAAATGAAAAAAAAATTTAAATTATTAACTAAACTAAATTTACAAAATTTATAAAGGTGGCAACACTGTTAAAAACCTTTTTATTTTCAACTTTTCTTAAACCTTTTAACTTGAAGTTCTTATATCCATAGTTCGTTAATAACTTTAGCTTAATCAAATTAAATTTTCGTCAAACGGCAACTCTACTCTACTACTTTTCTCTCTAGCCCTTAAAAGCTTAGAAATATGTCATTTATTCAATTATAAAAATATTAAAACAAAGTTTTCTATAAAAGCTTTCTGATATTGTTTAATTCTCAATCCCATAGGAAATTTCTTTCCAATCGCTTTCATTAAATAATAATTTTCAACAATATGGCATCGCCTCTCGGGAATATTTTCAAAAAAAAGCATTTTTTGTGTAAATTTTTTTACATTATTTTGAAACTTTATTGTTCAAATTCCATTAAAAAAATTGTTGGCAGGTGGCAGCACTGCTAAAAAAATTTTATTTCCTTAAGCACTTCACTTCGACACATTCAAATAATTAAACAAAACCTCAAAATACAAACAAATATTTTGACTAAAAATTTTTTAATTACTGGCAACCCTGCGTAACTTTATTCTTGTGGAAAATTTATTAAAATAATTTCATTTGTTTATTTAATTTATGGTATTTCTTCAATCTTAAATGTCCAAACTGGTAAAAAATCACTATTCGCTTACCCAATTTCGGCTACAGTTCATGTGAGATTGTGCCACTGTGCGACTCACACCCCTCCCAATGCACCGACAAACAGACAGACATAAGCAATCAAATTGAAATCAAAATCCAAATACAAATCGAAAGCAATTGAAGCTGAAAGCTATTGATGGTATTGTAGACATACCACAATTGAGACTACATTTGTCTATTTCTGTTGTTGCCATGTTGTTGTATTTGGACTTGTATGAAATAAAAATAACCAACAACCCTCTTTGTGTTTACTGAAAGTAGTCACCAGAATAATGACAGCCACACAAATGAGTATATCAATGGAGAAGACGAGACAAGAAATACGAATGACCAACGCAGTGAGGGCCGTGAAGAGTTGTATTGGACTGTGGCCCACTCTTAGGTTGTTGATGTCAGCTAAAGCCGCTGGGCGAAATTTTAACGTGACAGCTTTAAGTGCTTGTAGTCTTATTTGTAATAATCTTTTTTTTTTCAAGCGCGGTGCTTGTAGAAGAAAAATCGTAGATGCTAGCGCGCAGTTGTCTCGTCCACTACAAAATTTCTATTGGCGCTCACAGCATGAACGAATTCACTCGGTTCCTTGCTTACATCGAAGATATTCATTGCTTTCGCATTCATTCATTTATATAACTCCGCTAGTCATAAGCTGCCTTCAATGGAGCACTCAAAAGCTTCATATTCTCTTCCTTCATCATCAACTCGCTCTACCACACACCGCTGTCACATCACATTTAATTTGATTGGTTTGTCTTGCCGGCTTGTTGTCTCTGCTTATTGTTGTTTCTGTTGTTGCTATTCCCCACTCGGTTACCCACCTGCCTCACACATCCTTGCGCAAAATCTTAATAACACTGTCGCTGTGTATTTAACCATTGGCAAGCTGTTTGCAGCTCCTTGCTTACGGCTTTGGCTTTGTTGGTTTACTCTCCACCGGCTTTCGCGTTCACATCAATAATCAGCTCAGCCTGTCTGTAACCACCAATGCGTGGCAGCGCAGCGTTAGGGTTTGCGGTTCTTGTTGTGGTGTGTGCATTAATGTCGTCGCTAATAAATTGATTTGACAATTGCAGTTGGTCGCTGGAACTGAGGCGAAGACTGAGGTTGAGGCGGTGTGCTTCGCTGCACGCGATAAATGCTGCATAATGTATGCTAATTGTACCTACATATACTCGCGTAGCATTCGAATGAGTGCATAATTAGAAGGTGGAGGACTCTTTTCTGGAAAAAGTTTTGCCCGATTGGGACATAAGAAGAACTAGAAAAAGACTAGTAATACTGCTTTCTGATCATCAGACCAAAACACCATTACCCAAACACCTTCTTACTATTTCAGTTCAGTACTAATAGCGGTTTCTTTGAGGTGAGAAAATTGGAGACTAATGTAAATGCTTTTAATGCTTTATATCTTAAACTTTTTACCATCCGTCCGTTCGTCCAACTTTAATCTGTTTATCCGAGCTTAGCCTGATCTGGTCCTCGGTGCACAGACCTCAGACTCTTATTACTCATCTAACGACAGGTCCTGAGTTCCTTGGTGGTTTCACTATAACGCGGCTTTAGTATTCTTATCCATAAAGGGAGACGTAAATTAAAATTTATATCCGTTTTACGAGGAATGGACTTAAATAGCTGAAATTACGATAGAACAGACGCGAGCCCCGTCTCTTAGCTTTAATAGAGCCCGCTCTCGCGGAAAAAATGTTTCTGATGACCAATTCACAATAGTACACGAGGCCAGCAGAGTGCATTTTTTTTGGAAAGCTGTCACCCACCACAATTCATAGTTCTGAGTGTTAGTTGCTTTCCGCTTTTATTTAAGTAAAGCAGGTGAGCATGCCGATTAATTATGGTGAACCAGTACCAGTTACCAATTTTTTAATCTTCTAGAAGCCCCGAGACGTGCCAGCTGTTTGGGTTTGTGAGAAGACATAAGTAGATTACCTTAAAGGGCGTCATATCCCCATGAAGAAGGAGAGCGGTGTTAAGTGAGAGCTCTCCAAAGCATTCTCCACGCCTCCTTCTTCAATCTCTAGTTCCTTCAGACGTTCAGTTATCAAGATATTAAAGCTAGCTGGCAATAAGTTACCGCTTAGTAGGTAATAACTAGCTTTTCTCGTTAGTGGGCTCTATTGAGTTGAAGCTCCAAAAGTTTTCAGTGAGGGTTTTCTCATAAAAGTACATCCAACTGGGGGTTCTTCTCTGGGTACCCTTGGGTATTTTAAAAACAATTTGATATTTAGCCGATCGTCTCCTTAAACTCTTGGTGTGTTTCTTAACATTCTCTGAGAAATCGGATAAACCTACATAATTATCTAAATCGCCCTGCCGAAAGGTGACTGCATGTCAATTTTTTTTTTTTAAATTCTTAGAAGTTGATCTGAAGAGCTTCTGCATGATAGCTCAAAGTGATTTCGCTTTTGGGTGGCACAACTTATATTTCTAAAGTTTACTCCAAACCAAAAGGGCATTAACAATCCCCGCTTACCGAATTGCCACTCTGAACCTTCCACTTCAATTAGCCTCCCCAAGCAGTCGATTAATTTACCTCACTCGCCAATAATTACTTTTTCTTGATGTCACACTCTTCCCACCACCGCGCTCCTACGACCCTTTCTTCATTTTCACATCCCCACTCCCCTTATTGTCACTCTGCCCACTCACCTGAAACGAATCGACGCCGATAAACCAATCGGGCGATGGCACAATACGCGTCATTAACGACACCAGACTGTGATTGCTGTCCACAAAGAATTTCGCCTCTTGCCGTCCATCGCCCACCAACACTGCCGGTATATTGAATTCGTCGAAAACGCTGCGTTCGAGTCCACCACCAATGCCATTCCTCATTGAGTTTACTGTTGGCACAAAGCTGCCAAATGAATTTCCGTTTATCATACTTTGTTGTTGTTTTTGATGCATTTGTTGTTGCTGCTGCTCGCCAACAACACTGTCTAGTACATCACTTTTGCCCGTCTCAGCGAATTGTTTAACACCCGGCGTAGCCTGTTGGCCAATGTGATAGAGCGCGTAGGATGAGTCGTGGGTGCGACCTGAAAGTAGAAGAAGCACAAAGAGTGGGTAAATATAATATAAACTGACAAGTAAAGAATACTAGAATATTATATTAAGGGAGTGTGAGTTCAAAAAGAGCTGAGAGTTTAAGTGCATTCCGCATATTGAATGAATAAGAATAAATTAATTAAGACCCGCGCTCACCCGCTTACAGCGGCATTCCGGAGCGCCATCAAAGCGCACAATTAAAAATGTATTAAGAAGCGGTGTAAAGGCAAGCAGTGCGGACAAGATGGGATGTGGAGCGTAATAAGTGGATGAAGAAAATGAATGGTTGGCGACAGCCGCGTCTAAGGAAGAGTGAAGAATAAAGTGAATTACTCAAATACTTTTTTTAGACCACGAAGCCAAATTGTACAAAAACCTCTGTTAGTGTTGGCTTTCGAACTTGAAGACAATGAAAATAATTGCAGTGTCGATTGAGAGAGGAAGCAAATGGATTTGCTTGACATTTAGGTCACCCCCGATGCCAGCTTCAGCGAAGAAAAGAAAGCCGCTCAGTCGCATGTGGTTCAACGAACTGGGCGATGAGCGCCGAAGATGTCTAATTAAATAGATATTGAAGATAAATGTGGAGCAAAAAGTCGGTACTAGCGAAGAGAGGGTAATCGTACTCCAAAATAAATAAAATAATATAGAATATGAAATAATTATCAAAACAAAATAATAAANTAAACTAAACAAAATAAAAGAAACCCAAATAAAATGAAATAAAATGAGGCTAGGGCTCGAGTCTTGGTTTGACAAACATTGAACCTTATAAAAAAGTATTGTTTTAATTGCATACTCCTCAAAAAATGTGAATCATATTGAATGTGCTTTTAACATGAAGTAAAGGCTCCACATAAAAAGCCACCAGCCGTTTTTAGGTCTGTTCATTTGTAAGGAAATATAAACAGAAAAATGTAGCCACGAACTGCGAATACAGGAGTTTTAAGTTAACTCCAGATTTAAATTAATCAACACATTCTCTTTCATGAAATTCAAAATATCCCCAACTGACATGCTGAAAGCAAAAGGAAATTAAATTCCCCTCATAGTGAATTCGCTTTCACTGATTCAGCACGCACTCGCAATAAATTGAATTAAATTTTTCAACGGGACTGAAAATTTGCAGCATACCAAAGTTTTGTAGCGCAAATAAAAACTCACTTTTGTTTCAACTTGTTAAATCACAAATTAATTTCGCCACTTTTTTCCTCCCTTTAGAGCAAAAGCAGTGCTCAAACACATTCACTACTGCACACACATGCATACAAATAAAATATATTTACAGATAAGATGTGCGCGTACGCTTTGGTAATTTAAGCACAATTTACGACTACACTTTGCTGTTGCTGCAGCTGCTTTAGCTTAATTCTGCGGCAAAGAGCGGGAAATTTAGTTAAACACCAGCGGAAGAGCTCTGGCACACCCACACAACCCCAGCAGTATGCATTGCCACATAGCTGCAAATTAGATAGCAACAACACTCTCACTGAAAAATCAGACAACGTAAGTGTGCACAAATGCTATTCCATACTCAAGTTGCTGCTGTTTGTGTGCGTGTGTGTGTAGTCACACCCACCTGCTCACCCAGAAAATTCACTGCATTTTCTATATATTTTCTATCTTTATTTGCTTCAGCATTTCTATGCCAGCTAAATGTTGATTTACAGCTCTGGTTTCCCTCTCAAAAAGCCATGTAAGTGTCTTGGCGTGAGAAAGTGAGGTAGCAAGTATGTGTGTGTATGTATGTGTGTGTGTAACATCGTGGTTTGGCTTGCACTTTGTACGCTTTGTCTCATTATCCATCTCCTACTCATCGCCAACGCCATTATAATTTGCAAATGCACGCAATTTTCGTAGCGGTAACGTTGTTGGTGTGCATTTTGCACACGTACAAACGTATTTAGCAACAGTGTTTTCAACATGCAAGAAAACCGAAAATGAGGGCAGAGATGAGAAAATTTTACACCGCGAATGCAGCTAAATTACGGAGATATGTAAATCTGCGTATATACATATAAAGAGATGAACATTTTGAAAATTCTGCAATTAATATTAATTTGTTTTCTTTAAATGAACAAAGAACAGCCATTAGTTAAGCATCCTTGCTTTCTTGGACGTAGGTTGGCGTAATTGTTGGAAGCATTCGTGCTCACTTCACTCACTATATTTTTATACGTCTTTCATTTTTTAAAATAATTTTAATTTTTTTTGTATTTTATTATATTTAATATTATTGTTTTTACTATTATTTTTTGGTGTATATCATTGAATATTTTTTTAATTTACTTCGTTTCAGTTCATTCATTTTATTAAATTTTATTCCATTTCATTTTATATTATTCAGTTTATTTTACTNTTTATATTATTTTATTCAATTTTACTTTATTTTATTTTGGTTTATATTATTGAATATTATTTTATTTTGAGTTAATTGATTTATTTTTTTTTAACAAAACTTCATTTTATTTTACTTCTTATTATTATATTTTATCTCATTTGAATCTATTTTTTATTCTGTTATATTTTATATTGTTTTATATAATTTTAATTTAATTGCACTTATTGATTTTTTATTTCATGATTTTATTGGGTATATGCATTAATTCGTGCGGTTTTTTTGCGAAGGTTAAGACTTCAATGTTAAAAATTATTTTAATCGTCTGGAAACGGTTGCTTGATCAACTCCTAATACTTTTGCAGGTTCTTCTTGCGTCTGGCATGCATCTGCGTGGAGCAATATCTCCAACTCTAAGTCTTGAAATTTTTTTGGCTGTCCGTCATCTAAGTCGAAATTGCCACTTTTAAACCGTGGAAACCAATTTTGTCACGTTCGTTCGGCTAAAGCATGGTCACCATAGACGTCCAATAAAATACGATGACTTTCGGTTGCACTTTTCTTCATGTTAAAGTAATACAGAAGAACTCCACGCAAAAACACTTTATCACTTCATCAAAGGAATGAAACAAATTGTTGTTCACGCTACAACAAATTTCATCTACTGAAAACGACGCGAACCGACAGTACCTTTGACATGAATATAGCCACAGATGAACACGACTCGAAATAATACTAGAAAAGCCCTCTCTTTGAAAACCGCACGAACTAATGCATATACTCAATATTTTATTTTATTTTATTATTTTTTTCTATCAATACGTTTTGAAGGTTCTGTGAATAAAAAGTCTCTAATTTTTTGCATCTGTATCTGGTTCTCTTAGTTCATCTTGAAGTTCCCACCAGTCCAGCGCAGCCCTGACTGCTTTGTTGTGCCACAAATATTTCTGTTTTTAATTTTTTTCTTTCACTCTTCTTTGTGGGAAAGTTTTCTATATAATTTTTTGTTTTTTTTTTCATTACATTTTTTATGCTTCTTTTCCAACAAACTACTCTAATACCTTTTGCTTTTCTTTATGATATTATTTTTTATTTCTCCAGTTTTACTTTCTACATAAGTTAAATTTTTTTCTTTCTCCTTCAATTCCCTGCATTTATATTTGGCCAGCTCCATTGGAGAATTGCAACTTTTCTCAAGTTGAAATTGAAAAATTTTGCAACACTAAGCTTGTACGCCGTCATACAAACCTATGAAAAAACATATAGTATAAATTGTAATAACATGAGCAAGTTGTTTTTAAGAAAAAATTTAATATGTGTGCATCAAAGAAATCATGAGCAGAAACAGCCAATAGCTCTGTAACTCTACAGCACTGCGCTGGAGCTCGCCGCCTCTGGCGTATTACTCTAAAGCACAGTGTAACGTATGAGTTACGTGCTTTGTGACCTTTCTCCTATCTTGGTCAACGCCAAAGGCATGCACGTGTTCATTTGTTACGTTGGCTTGTGCTCTCACATATATACTCGCCCATATATTGGTATGTTACGTATACCACGCGCCGTTCCCTTGGTCAAAGGTATGGGAATAACACGTTTGGAAGAGAGAAACTTTAACGAATTTCTTTGGATTAAAATATTAAGACTTTTAATTTTAGTTGAATTACAAAAAAACTTTTAAATAAGTCTAATGATAATTTTTCAATTATTAATTGTTAAAATTAAATTAATAAGAGATTCAAAAAAAAATCAGATTATTAAATTTGTATTTAATTTCTGAAAACTCTTCCAATTTTTCACTTTTACTGTTACTTTTTTTTAATTTATTAAATTTCATTTTCTCATTTTTTCAGTTCATTTTATTATATTAAATTTTACTTTTTGTTTTTTTATTATAATTTGTTTGTTTTTATTTATTTTTATTAAGTTTATATAATTTAGGTACGTCTATAACTGTTTTTAATATATACTCTTTTTTTTTTTGCTTGCTTGTTTTCATATTAATTCAATTATCCACACCTGTAGCGGACGCCTGTGACGCCACTGACCCAGTGGCATATTTAAGTTAGCTACGGATATACATTTATATATATGCTCCTGCATTGGTCACTGCAACATGGACTTGCGAGCTGTCGTACAAACCCCCGAGCGCAGCAGCAGCAATTGCAGTTAAGGCAAAATCCACTTGCATTGCACTTCAAACCGGTAAAGCCGCAGGGGCATTTCTACAACAATGCACTGGCGTAGAAGTTACACACATAGTTATACTCATTATTATTATTGCAAGTGATTCCCTTTTCCACTTTTTGCTTAAATTTTATGCTTATTTTTATAGAATATGCCATCCATATTCACTTCAATGAACAAAAGAAGAGAAGTTAAATTGCATTGCAACGAGGAATGAGTGCTCGTTAGGGCATTCAAATGTACATATGTATGGAAGTTGTCATATACATGTGTGGAATTACATACAGCGAAAGCATGTCTGTAGTAGTAGTGTGTGGTGGCATATGTTGCATATTCTTGGCCTTTGAGCTCGTTAAAGTCAACTCGAATAAAAGTTAAGCATCACAAAAATGTGACAACAATGAGCGGAAATATCCTTACAGCAGTGGCAAGCTTAAGCAAGTTGATACTGAGCATGGGATGTGGACT